TTCTTACTTGTTCCCTCTCTACACTCCTTTGAGATTTGAAATGTGTATTAGAATGTTTTATTGTGTCCCTGTGTTTTTTATGTGCTTTGCTGATACGTCCATCTTCTTTGCTCACCCTGTGTCAGCCTGGATATTTTCTATTGACCTAACTTTCCACTCTGTTAAATTCATCTATTGAGTTCTTAATTTCTGTTATTGTACTTTTTAGTTCTAGGGTTTCCACTTAATTGGTTTATTTATTTTAATAGACTCCAGCTCTATATGTCTTGTCATTTGTATTCATGAACACAATAATAACAGTTATTTTTAAGTTCACATTGGTAACTCAATAATATGCTGTAAGTGTGTTTTCTGTGGGCCTGTTTCTATTGTCTGTTTTTCTCTTGGTCCTTGTTATTAGTATATTTAATAAGCATTAGTTGAATGATGAATAATGTATGTAAAAATTACAGAAGATCTAGATGACCATGTTTTTCTCTTGTGAAGGTTTTCCCTATCCTCTGGTGTGTGGCCTGAGTGAATGCAGATCACTGTACTCCAGTCAGGGCAGAACTGACCCTAAGCTCAGTTTCAATTTGTATTAGCCTCAGACTACTTCATCCTAACCCCTAGACTGTAGCTCTGAGGGACTTTCTATGGGCCCTCTTCCTTGGTGGGATCTGATACGTGATTTCTGTCTCTAGCATGGGGAAACTACTAAGGCCTCCTCTATGATTTTCAAGGACTTTCTGCTCAATTTCTTAGTTTCTTGTCCTATGCAGTTTAGGGACTTGGCAAGTATCTAGGAAGGAGTACTGCATTGTCTGGTTCACTTTTCTGTGTTTCCTTACTCTCTGGAAGTTTTTCCATAAGTCCTAGATGCCTTTGCAGCCCCAAACAAAAACTTCTGTTTTTCTAGCACTGTGAGATTGCCAAAAGCTGTGCAGACTTTATTTTTTCCCCCCTTGCATATGTGCCTTAGCTGGGGTTATCACCTTCTGCTCCCAAACAAGAACTGGCAAATGCTCTGAGGGAACAGTGGCTCACTGATTACCAGCTCATCTCTCTGCATTCTCTTCCCTGAGACCTCAGCTCCTCAAGCCCTGACTGCCCCATCAGCAGTCTCCACTACTTTCAAGAGGTCTTCTGTTTGTTTAATTTTATATAGTTTTCACATTGTTCTTGGCTAGAACATTGGCTTGCCACAAGCTACATCTTATCAGGAACAGAAATATCTGTATTTCCTCTTCAAATGATCCTTCTGGGGCCTACTAACCTAGTCATTTATTACTTGCATTTTAGAGCGCTTAACTATGGTAATCATTACTAAATCTATGTGTGGGTTCTGTTTGTTTGTTTTGCTAATTCTGCCAGATGAATTCTATCAGTACCCCAAATTAGCATTGATTAAAGTCATTTTGGGATGGTTACCCATAGAGTAATTTGTTACTGAAATTAATTGAGATCCTACTCCATACTGTGAGAGACCTTATAAGGACTTGAACATAAGGGAGCCTCCTCTTTTCTGAGGCTAGCGGGGGGAGGGGAGGAAGGTCAATTTATTTGGGGGCATACATGGTAATTGGCGCATGTAGACCATAAGCAGAGCTGTGAAATAGACAAACTATGTCTCCATGCTGCCTGCGACTCATTTCTGTACTTTATTTCGGTGCCTCCTCACTAGGCGCAAATGGCTAGTGCAGCTCAGCCTGGCGGGTATGGCCGGAGACCCAGGCTTCAGACCTGAACACCTTCACAAATGGTTTTTCTGATGAGACTTAGCAGTTCTTGGTTCATACCTCAGAGACTCTCTTTCCCTGACATTGACCCCACAAGGCAATGGCTTGAAATGCTGCTGAACCCGGAGTCACGCCATTTATTAGCCACACATTTGCCAGTGAGATTGAGATTGGCATCAGAGAAAGTGCCTTCTCCTAGTTATACAGTCCTTCAGTGGTACAGTGCAGTATAATTGGACAGGACATTAGGAGACCTGACGTTTGTGTTCTTTTCATCTATCAAATGGATCTGTCATACCTGCTCCTCTTTTCTTGCTTTGCTTTGAAAATAAATGAAACATTTGAATCCAGACCACACAAACTTATTGACTCCTGCTGGGTTTATAGATTTGAAAGTGTGAAAAGGCATTTTGAACTCCCCAGAGACGTGTGGTTTATCCAAGATGTTATTTTAATGGCAGCGTTTGTCATGACTCAGAATGGGGTGCTATCAAAAGTCAGCAGGACTGTAAGAATATAAATAAATGTTGCTTGATGAGAAAAAGAAAATCACTAGTTTAGGAACCCTCACACAGCATGAGAGCATGTCTGGTGATATTTCAGGCTATTTACCTATTATTAACCTACCGGTCACTGGCAGTTGTATGAATTCATTTTTAATCTTCTGCTCCTGAGGTCATTGTCACCCCATTTCCAAGACACAATGGAATAACATGAGCTGCTTTTATGATAAGGTAGTGAAGTTGTCACAGTGCCCTAACAACTTATTACCACCGTGAACTGGGACTTGAGTTTTGAGTTTTCCCTCTAGTTGTTTTCACAGTTTGACTTGGGAATAAAAGAGAATGCTGACTCTTACTATCATTTCTCATACCTTCACATCATCATCTCAGATTTATTAGGTATCTTTATCATGAGTTTGTCCTTCAAAGCTGCGTTCTCTTAACAGCCTGTTTTACTTGTTAGCCACATCATCCTACCCTTACACACATTGAGCCTGAGTTTGGTTTTCACTAATATAAGGATAAGATTAGCCCTGGCTGGCTCACATGGTGTTCCTGAGACCTAACTGACCAAGATGAAAAGTACTTTGTAAAATGTGAAGTCTTTTTAAAAAATTGATAGACCTTTTTGGAGCACTTAACATATGAGATGATAACTTAAAGCATTGTTGGTTTAATAATTTAAACTATTAGAATTAATAGAAATACTTTCTGGATCGTCCAAAGCTTTGTACCTTATGCTCTTTGTACCACTGGACCCCACCACTAACTTGACTTGAGAACTGACACATAGCTTCATAATGACAGTGATGCCAATGAAGAATTGTCTTTGAAGCAGGGTTTTGTATTACCTTGGAAGCTTGGCATTGATGTAATGTCCACCTCCCATGCAGGAAGCTTTTCCAACGTGGGTCCTTAAATTGCACCAAAGCAGACTCTTTGCTCTCTGAGGGTATATGGAAACTTTGGCGTCTTTCAAGCTCTGTGCCAAATTTATTCTTCTCCGTATCTCTCTTTCTCTGATCTCTCCACCTTTATCGTCACTGTCATCATCTTCTCTAACACTTCGGTAGCACTTACGGTATATCCAGCCGCTGTGTGAGTGGTTTACATTTGTCAAATTTATTTAATTCTTTCAACAGCTTTCTTTTAAAGACAAGGAATCTGAGGCTCAGGGCAGTTGAGGAGCTTGTCCATGTTCCCATAGCTAGTAAATTATAAAGCAGGGGTTTAAACCAAAGTAATCTGGACCCAGAGTTCATGTCTTAATAATCCTGTTGGGGGCGCCTGGGTGGCTCGGTCGTTAAGCGTCTGCCTTCGGCTCGGGTCGTGATCCCGGGGTCCTGGGATCGAGCCCCGCATCGGGCTCCCTGCTCAGCGGGGAGCCTGCTTCTCCCTCTCTGCTGCTCCCCCTGCTTGTGCTCTATCCCTCTCTCTCTCAGATAAATAATAAAATCTTAAAAAAAATTAAAAAAAAAATTTATAAAAAAAAAATAATCCTGTTGAACTGCCTGTTTGGCATTGCTTCATGTGCCTAGTAGTTCTAGGCATCTCCAAAGAAAGTAAAAATGTCTAAAAACCTGTCTACTCCCTTGAGCGCTTGAAGAATAGCAAGACTCCATTCAGGAGCATTTTCTCCATGTCTAAGCCAGTTCAGGCTGCTCTAACAAAATACCACAGACAGGGCAGGGCGGGGGGGGTGGTGCTTAAAACAACAGAAATGTATTTCTCAGAGTTCTGGAGGCTGGAAGTGTGAGATCAGATGCCCGTATGGTTGGTGTCTGGTGAGAACCCTCCTCTGGCTTGCAGATGGCCAACTTCTCACCGTGTCTTCACTGTGTCCTCTTAGGATGCTAATCCCATCATGGCCGCTCCACCTTCATGTCCTAATTACCTTTCAAAGGCCTCACCCCTGAATAACATCTTACTGAAGACTGGGGTTTAAACATATGAATTTGGGAAGACACACACAGGCAGCCCCCAACACTCAGCACCAGTGACTTCTCTCCAATGATAGTCTGTGCTTCCAATTTCCATTCCTCTCAAAGACTCCTCCCCTTCCTTGGACAGGAACTTTGGGCGGAAAATGCAGAACCACCAGCACTGACTCAGGTGGGGACATGTGGGGACTCAGCACCATATGGGGTCCAGGGGATACTAAAACCCCCTCCCAAGGAGGAGGGAAGGGCTGGGCGGCTGAGGTCTGGGTCTCTGGAGAACTTCCACTGCTGCAGTCTCATCTGCTCCAACCAGATGGAGCCATAGAACAGCAGGAAATCAGGGCAGCCTCAGAACTGAGAACCAGCCAGGGAAGCCCATCCCATTTCCAGAGGTCCCTGCTGTGCCCTTAAGGGGCTGGCAAGAGAGTGTAGGACACTCAGGCCCTAGCTAAATGGGAGGAGCTAATAACTTGGAGATCACACAGACCCCAGGGTACATTCCTGCTGTCCCCACCCCAGCCCTGATCTTTTGAGCAGGAAGGGGGTTAGGTGCAGGATAGAGTGGGTAAAACCCAGGGGTCTCATCTTTGTGGATCCATATGCAGTAATAGGCAGTATGTCCTTGGTCCATGCCCTAAAGATATTGGCGTGTGTGTTCTGCCCCAGGCAGGGATGACTTGGGACCTGCAGGGGAGAGGAAGGAGGTTGCTGAGTGGATCCAGTTGTAGAGAACTAGGGATGGTACAAACAAAGGAAAAAGGTAGTGCCAGACACATACATGAACCTTTCTTTTGACTCCCTGCATGCTTTACTTAACAATTTCTGCTCATCTTTTCTAGCAGCAGTGTCCTTGTTAAACGGATGTTCAGGCCCATGGAAGAGGAATTTGGTCCAGCACCTTCTAAGCAGATGAAAGAAGAAGGGATGAAGCGAGGTATCTCCCCTCTGGCATTGCAGGGTTACCCACCCTCCCATCATGAATGGTGGGGGCACTTCACACAGAAGACTGTGCAGCCCAGCCCAGACCCGTGGTTCAAGGCTGGCCTGGGGATTGGTTATTGACGAAGGAAGTCCACAGTCTTCCCCTTCACTTTCAGCCCTGTCCTTTTAAGCACCTTAAGCAAATATATATTCTTTCTAGGCACTGGTTCTTTCTTTTGCCTTGGGAACAAGGTAATGAGGGTACCGATCAGCCAGCAGTGAGGTCTGAGGTCAGAAGGAAACTTCTGCTGCACATGAGACAGTAACGTCTCCCAAGCAGCGGCGGTTGAGAATCGTTCCAGAGATGCAAACGACTCATCTCAGACAGATAAATGAGCCTGTTTTCTGACATCACAACTTCTTCACTTTCTCTGTCAAGGGTCTTATTCTGCTTCATCAAGAGACTAAGAAACGAAGTGAGAGTGAGTCAGTGTTTTGCTCTGCCTTTCGATACGGTACATAACTCACTGTCCTTCCTTGGAGGAAGAGGAGAGTGTGGGGAATGGCCATTGCCCTTCCTGTCCTGCTGTAGCCAACACCAAGAGCTTCCAGAGATCTTAGACGTAGTGTGCTCGACTTCCAGTGAGTCAGGCTACCCTGTTAAATATGTTCGCCGTCCATACAGACTTGGATTTTTTGTTACCGAGAAATAGTATTTCTTTTCTACTTGTAGCGGGATTTGCAGAGTGGTCAAGAACATCCCCTCTGTAGCCTTCCTCAGCCTTTCAGAGTTGTAGGACCTTGGGGAGACCCTCCGCTCCTTCGAGTCCACATTGTAAAACAGGGGTGAGAAGAGTACCTACCTGTAGAGTTGCTGTGAGGATTGATGAACCTCAGTGTATGTCAGACACTTCACCCAGGTGCCTAGCACATAGTAAGCACTCTGTGTTCACTGTTACAGCTGTGACTTTTATTATTAGGTCTGGATCTAGGTACATGTGTTCATTGTGAATAAGTAAGTAGTGCTTCAAAATGGAAAGAGCATAAATACCTAGGTGGTGTTAATTACATTAGCAGCCTTTAAACCTTTAAAAGATTGGCTTCACAGGCTTCCCATCAAATATTCAAGTGCATTTTGGGCTTTGTTCCTGCATGCCTTTTCTAGCACATACTTTAGAACGAAGGCAGAATTATACGGAAATCAAGAATTACACAGGCAAAAGTAATTGTAGCTTGCATCCATATTTAGTGCATGCTGGCTAGCCCAAAGGTTGTGTTTTTCAGATTATTTTGAGATTGTGAAGTCAGTACAAAAATTGCCACTGGGAATTTTCTTGGGCTGTGACAAAAAGCAAGTCTATGGCTTTTGAAACATCTAAATCACAGAGACACACGAGGGCGCTGCAAGCTACCAGCGACCAAGCAAGTGGTCTCCTGGGAGTGGCTTTCCTTTGGAAAAGGACAGTGGAGTTACTGAGCCCCTGGCCTGGAGCTCCCAGTCGGAGCTGGTCTTTGACAAGCAAGAGGAATCAGGGTCAGTGATGGTTCCCATTGTTTATTTATTAGAAGTTCTCCAGGAGAGAAAATGATCATAGTTCTCCCCAAAGCCACTCTTTGTTGTTCTGCCTTTGTAGCCACTTCTCTGGGGGGCTCCGTGGGAGTCACTTGGAGCCTGCCCCTGCGGCTGTCTGCCTCTCCCCTAGCGTCTGGGACGCCTGCCGGCCGTCACGGCCACCGTTAGCGGAGTGATTGCGTGGGCCCCGCCGCAGCCGCACGGTTGCCGAAGCTGCTGCCCGGGGCAAGCCGTGGGGGTGCGCTGTCAGCCCAGCAGGGGCGGGGGTTGGGGTGCAGCCCTGCCTGGCCTCTCTCCCACAACCTACCCACATGCCACCGGACCACCTCTAACGCCTTACCGCGACACCTGTAGCAAGGGAATCAGCCATACTATTTCAAAGACAAAGATTTTAAAAGAAGAAATTTGTAAATCCAATGGCAGCGGGACTCATTTTACTAGAACATGTTTGGGGTTTCCTTAGGGTCAGCCTGCTGGAAATGACATTTTTCTTTTGCGGCTTGCAGGGAGAACTTCCAGAATGTTTGCTGTAACAGCCACCCTTTTTTAATTTATTTTTTATTTTTTATTTATTTATTTATTTTTTAAGATTTTTTATTTATTTAACAGAGAGAGACACAGCGAGAGAGGGAACACAAGCAGGGGAGTGGGAGAGGGAGAAGCAGGCTTCCCGCCGAGCAGGGAGCCCGATGTGGGGCTCGATCCCAGGACCCTGGGATCATGACCTGAGCCGAAGGCAGACGCTCAACGACTGAGCCACCCAGGCGCCCCAGCCACCCTTTTTTTAAATTTAATTGTCCTCATCCAGTTGTAGCTGAGGTCCTCTGGTCTAATTGTTTCTCACTGTGCCGCTAACCTTGAGTCCTCTTATAAGGCCATTAGGCCACTAGATTGTTTCAGCTGAAATGGAGACTATAAATATTCCTCCAAAGGACTACATTTTGAAATCTTTGGAGACATGTTCAATCTGTTTATTTTTAATTGGTAGTTTATTTTTGTACTTGGTAAAGAGAAGAAACTTTGCAGTACTTCGGGGTTTTTTCTCTTTTGTGTCACACACAAACCGAACAGCTGCTGCAGAGAGAAAATGTAGGCAGAGTCCTTGTGCGCCTGTGTAGACTTTGCCTTTATAAAGCAGGCAGCTTTAACAAAGTCCCTGGGACTGGGGAGGAGTGGGGGAAGGGGCAGGAGTTTGAGTTAGAGCTGGTTTCAGTTTCCAGCTCCAGCTTCATTCTTTCAACTTGGTGGTAACTGTGACTCCGTTGGTACCTGACTGTGGTCGGAGGCTCAGCAGGGTTTCTGGGCGGCACATTCTTCCTGTAGTAGCCAGGCGCAGGGGGCTGCAGCCTTGGCCCTTTTCTTTCCCTCTGAAGTCAAAACCAGAAGCCATATTATTGGAGGAAGGAGAGAGAAAGCACAGGCAGCTCAGGGGGCTGGAGGGTCGCGTGTGAATGGCAGTTCCAGTTCTTTCTGGGAGCTAAGCGTCCGGGCAGTTGCTGTAAGGAAGGGTGTCCCCTGAGAGTGTCTTCTCCTCTGTGATGGTGTCTGGGGTCACTTACCATCTCCCCTAGTCTGTGCATGATCAACTTGAGACTGTTACGTTACAGAGAAATGAGCACAAAGCCGCATTCACCTTCACTGAGGGCACTAGAACCATGACAGGTGCTTCCTAATGGCATCCGCTGATGGAGGAGCGGTACTTGCTGTGTGCTGGGCACGGTGCTAAGCGCCCCACGTGGATGCTAGTCATTTAACCCCCACAGAAACCCCGTGAGGTAGATGATATTATTATCCCCGTTGTCCAGGGAAGACCAGCGCTTGGAGAGGTGTAAGGAAGCAGAGCCCCACAGCAGGCTGAGCTGGGGTCAAAGCCAGGCCTGTTGTACTCCAGGTCCATAGCTTCTCCCTCACACCTCTGACATGCCCCGGCTCCCTCCGGGCCTATGCACTGGTCGGTCTGTCGCCTGGAGTTGTGCTCCCTGTCCTCTCTTCCCATCTCCCCAGCTCTGTGAAAAGCTCAGGCCCCTGTAAGCACTCTTTCGTGTCTTTTTCCTTCCGAACTCGTCCAACCCCGTCTGGCTGTCTGCTTATTTGAGGAATGCCTACCTCTCTAAGGGACGACGAATTCCTTAAGGTCAGACCATGTCTTAATTCACTGCTGCAACCTCAGCTTCTGGCACACAGCCTGATGGGTATTTGGCAATATTTGTTGAATGATCAAATGAATAAACAGAAGACGGAGGTCGCAAAAAGAGATGTCCTAAGGAGGTGATGGACCCACCTTGAGAAATTCCAATGTGAACAGTGTGGGAAAGCATCACAGTGCATTAAGTGTGACTCACTTGTCCGTTTACTCCCTCGAAGGGCCCCTTAGCGCCTGGCTGCAGGTCAGCTGTGGAGGTGCGGCAGTCACCCTCGTAGGGGTCGTCTGGGTCATCGGGGGTCCGCGACCTCATAGATACTGTCAACCTCTGACGCGTGTGTGACAGGAAGCAGCCTGGCAGCGGTGGTGGCTGTGTGGGCTCCTCAGTCACGCCTCCCCTCTGCTTCTCTTTCAGTGCTGCTGTATGTGCGGAAGGAGACGGACGATGTGTTCGACGCTTTGATGTTGAAATCCCCCACTGTGAAGGGCCTGATGGAAGCGGTAAGCAGCTGACCCTTTCAGCCTCCAGGAAACCTGCCTCTGTTCTCCTGAGCTGGAGTCCGTGCCTTAACATGCAGCCTTTGAGATGGCTCTGGAATGAGCTTTATAAAGAAAAAGAAAAACAAATTTATGGGAACACTGATCTCCACACCATCCTGGCTTATTAGCATTCAAGGAGAAGGAAACTTTGAAAAACTGCTAATTCCCTGTCAGTTTACGGCTAATCAGAGTAAGATGCCATAGAGAAGGTTCATCTGAGTTTCCATTTGTCTCTTTGTGTGAAACCAAATTAGATACGTTTAACTTCCAAATATGCACAGAACAGAAACAATTAGGAAGTATCTTGCTAGCTGTGATAGTGTAATCCAAAATAAAAATATGACGTCTTTCGGTTAAGAAGCATTCACGTACACATGGCCATTGCTGGGCTACAGTATTTAAGTAAGACTCGGAACTTCCACCCTCACTTCCCATCCCCAGTTAGTCTAGCATCAGGGAGCCTGGACTCAGGAAAAGTTATCTGATATTTTATCCATATGTTATCCATCCGAATAGGACTTTAATATGACTCTATTTTGACTATTTCTCCCTCCCACTTTTTTTTTTTTTTTTTTGGTACAACTATATAGAAGATCTGGGTATGTTATGGCGATGGAGACAATAGGACAGTCCACAGTCACTTGTGGGTCTGCAAAACTGCGACATTGGAACAGTATCTTGGGTTTTGTGGGGCAAAATATTACAATGTATAGGATAGGACTAGAAGTGGAATCGTACAATATGTGGTCTTTTGTGGTTGGTTTCTCTCACTGAGCATAATGTTTCAAACACGGTGTAGTATAATCAGTACTTCATTCTGTTTTATTGCTGAATAATAGTTCATTGCATGGATATACCACATTCTGTTTTTCCAGATTTGTCGGGTGATCGACATTTAGGGTTTTTCCACCCTCTGAGTGTTGTGAATAATGCTGCTGTGAACATGTACAAGTTTTTCTTTGAACCCTTGTTTTCAGCCTATACTCCACCACAGCAGAGTCGAGCTTTTCATCTCTCTTAGGGGAACTAATTAACACCTTCCTTGCTTTGCTTGGCTGTGGCTGTGGGGGAGAGTGGTGCAGGTATCCTTTGACCCTGTAGGCCGGGGAGAACTCAGGTTTGCTCTGGGCAGATGCCTTGGGGCAATTCTGACCTTGTCTCCCCTTTGTTAAACCTGGAAAGAAAAGGTTTTACTGATGCACCGACACAAGCTATCTCCTTGCTTCTTGAGTGGGTCACATGGGCAAGCAGGGCCGCAGACGCCCCTTCCGGGTTCTCAGGTGACTTGGTCTGCTGGTGAACTCCAAAGGAATGACATCAGCAGCCCTTGCAGTTTGGGGGTGGCCGCCAAGGACAACGGGTTCTATTTAAGTGAAGACTTGAGCACACCATGAAGTAAGAAGGCAGGACACTGTCGTTGTACGCTAGGTTTCTTTGGGGCCTGGGTGGGGGAAGAAATGGCTATCTCCAAGGCATGCGTTCTCAGAGGACCAGCGCCTCACTAGTGTGTGGCCTTTTACCACACTTCCCAACACGCACGTGGAGATTCAGCGTAGCCTTGTGAGCCAGCATATGGGCTTTGGGCTCAGAAACCCACATGTAGATCGTCAAGCTCTTACTAGCTGGGCAAGCTACTTAACCTCTTCTTCATCCTTCAGATGGAAATCATAATAGTACCTACCTCACAGGATTGCTGTGGGGATGAAATGAGACACCACACATAGAACTCCCTGTCTGGTTCCTAAGTACCCGATAAAGGTTAGTTTTTGTTACCAAATCAGAGCTAGCAAAGATCGCGGGAACACTTCCTCCTTTTCCTCAGATTCTGGATTTCTCAAATAATCAGCTACCTCATAGATATGGTCTAAAAGATGGAAAGCTTTTTTGGTTCGTGATTCCATTCTGTAATTTTCCACTAACCTGGCATTTTGGTGGAGGCGTGGAACTATGGAAATGGCGCAGGTAACTGGGTCAGAAACTCTGGAGGTTGTGTGGGAGTTCCCCTTCTCAAGCCTAGAGACAGAAAGCTGCTCCCAAGGAATGATCTTTATGCCCCACAGTCCAAAACCCCACATTAAGCAAAACTTCCAAAGGAGAAAGCAGTGTGACTCTGGTCTCTATGCTTTGTTCAGCTCTTAATTTTAAAATAAGATCATTCTGTGTGTGTGTGTGTTGGGGTGGGGGGTTATATTTTTTTTAACAACTTAAAACTGCATACAAAAAAATCCTAACTTTTAAGAAAATCTGTTTATTTTTTTATTTTTATTTATTTTTTTTTCTTAAAGATTTTATTTATTTATTTGACAGAGAGAGACACAGCGAGAGAGGGAACACAAGCAGGGGGAGTGGGAAAGGGAGAAGCAGGCTCCCCGCAGAGCAGGGAGCCCGATGCGGGACTCGATCCCAGGACCCTGGGATCATGACCTGAACTAAAGGCAGTCGCTTAACCAACTGAGCCACCCAGGCGCCCCAAGAAAATCTGTTTAATCAAGAGACATTATACTTGACTTCAAGCCATCACTTTGAACCCTGTCAGTGGTTGAAAGTGGCTTTCTTTTTTCTTTCTTTTAAGATTTTATGTGTCAGAGAAAGAGCACAAGCAGGGAGAGTGGCAGGCAGAGGGAGAAGCAGGCTTCTTGCTGAGCAAGGAGCCTGATGCGCGGGACTCAATCCCAGGACACTGGGATCATGACCTGAGCCGAAGGCAGATGCCTAACTGACTGAGCCACCCAAGCGTCCCGAAAGTGGCTTTCTATAAAAGCACAGTCCCCCACTCATTGTGGACCAGCAGATACTGTGGGCCTAGGATGTTGCTTCTCTAAGTGGGGGATTCCACTGGATTCTCCTAGGGTACTTTTCTGTGATGCCATCCCAGAACCCTACACCTGACCTTCAGAATCAGGCTCTCTCTGGTGGGCCCAGGAATCAGCATTGGTAGCAAACTCCCTGGTTGACCTGAAACCACACTAAAGTTTGGGAGCCACTGCCTGGTGTGTACATTGGCTGGGAACTGATATTAGGGTCAGATTCTGCCTTAAGGTCCTATGTGCATATTCACTCCAAATGAATCATCCCCCTCATTATCCTCTTTTGGGGCCAGAGTTCTTGCAAAAGTGGATTTGAGCAGGGGAGTGGCCCTGCAGGCTATTTCATGCGCGTAGACCCACCTCTGTGGATTTGGGGAATTGGCCTGGGTCTGGGATACCTCCTTCATCCTCCATCGAAGGTGTGGGAAGACCACATCCTTTCTTTATTGAGGAAGGTGCTCACAGTCTTCCAGGGAGAGCAGACCTCACAACTCCAAATGTAAAAGTGTGTCTTGTGCAAAGTAAGTGTGTGTCTTGCAGTTTTTGAAATAGGAACACCTGCTTCATATCAGTATTCACATTGTCTTATTCCCCTCGTGAACTAGTCTTTGAAAGGTTGGCTGTGTGTCACCTTCCGCAGCTGTAAAATGGAGTCATCGAGAACATAAATGAGTTAGCGCAAGCATGCAGGAGCTTTATCTGAGCAGGTGATGGCAATGACAATGAGGAGAAGGCTGCTGCTCCTGCAGCAGGAAGACTCGGGTTGCTTTCTATTGGAGAACCTTCTCTTATTTCTGCTGTTAACCTCAAATCCCCTATCCTCAGCCAAGCATTATTTAGATGTAGAAGAAACCCTGTCCTGGGAGATAAAGAGCCCCCCCCCCAAAAAAGTTCTGCATTTTTTTTCTTTTTAAAAAAAATAATTATTGGCAACCAGTGGTGCAGTGTTGATTGATCACAGACAGACTAGAACAGCGTTGCCACCCTTCCTTCAGATGGGAGGTCTGAGTCCGGCAGACTCACTCACTGAGCAGTTTGGGGATGGTGACGGTGCTCCTCCAGCCTACACAGATTTCCTAGAGTCTGTTAAGTCAGGTCACTCAACAGGATGGAGTCATTCTGTTATCTAGAAAGTGGGTTGTTTTTGTGCTCAGCAGACATTGTAGTCTCCCTTGAGATGATATGACTGGGTTTGCCTTGAAAGGGTCACACGTCCCCCCAGAAGCTCAGACACGGCAGCATGCACAGGAAAGAATGGGTTGGCGAGCGTGATTGAGCTCCAGTCACAACTGTGGAGTCTCGAACCTGACACTCTCAATCCTCAGTTTCCTTCCTCACAAAATGTGGACCATGCCAACTTTGAGGAATTGTTTTATTTGTACTCTCCTTGACCTCTCACTATCTTAGAAGGAACTCTTGACCACAACAAAGAGGAATGGAATTATTGGGTCACTTTGCTACAGGACTGGATAATTCTTCTTCTTTTACTGGTCCTGAACCTCCCACACCTTCATTTCACATGCCACATAATCATTATCCATACAGAGGTAGACACTTGATAGAAAAAGAAAAACGGTTCTCTGTCAGCAGATGTTAATGAATGTTCCCATACTTGGTATCATTTGGATAAAGTAGACTTTCTCTTTTCATCTGCATGTTTGATATCATGTCAACCAAGCCCCTTATGTAACCTTGATAATTCACTTTGGCTTCTTGATTCGTATAGTTGGGTTTTATTTATTCTTTAAAGAATTTATGTTGAGAGAGCACAAGCGAGAGGGGCAGAGGGAGGAGAGAGAATGTCAAGTAGACTCTGGGCTGAGCGCAGAACCTAATACAGGGCTCGATCTCACAACCCTGAGATCACAACCTGAGCCGAAACCAAGAGTTGGACACTTAGCAGACTGCACCACCCCTATAATTAGGTTTTAAACTTGATTACAGACAAGGATTTGGTGATGATGATGGTGGTAGTGGAGGTGACATGAGTTTTCAAAGTTTTTTTTGACTTTTCTAAGTGATTTTACCTAGTAATCCTACACATGAATCTTCAGCTGCTGTAGCCTCCTTCTAGTCCCTGAACCCCCAAGGTTTACTCATACCTCAAGGCCTTTGCCCCTGTTGCTTCTTCTGCCAGGAGTGTTTTTCCTCCAT